AATACAAAACCAAACAAAACAGCGGGACCATCAATAGCTAAGAAATAAAAATAAAAAAATCTGAATATTATTTAAGGCATTTTCATGAGTGTTACTTATAACAAAAATATAAATGATTAAAATTTGTGCTTCATAGTCAAATATTGTTTGTACCTTTTTATTTTGATACCATTTCAAACTTACGGAATAGTTGCAGAAACATCACAAAGAATTCCCATACACCCTTTACTCTAATTCACCAACTGTTTATCTAACATTTTGCCCCATTTCCTTTACCGTCTGCTCTCATTCTTGCTATGTGTGTATAGAGAAGAACATATTATTAAAGATAATTTAATTTTTTCTGAACTATTTCAGGGTAAGTTGCTGATATTAAACTCCTTTATCTCTAAACAGTAGAGAATATTTCCTGAGAACAAAGAAATTATCTTACATAACCACAGATTATCAAAATTATAGTTAACAGTCATATAATATTGTTATCTAATCCACAGGCCATACCCAAATTTTGCTAACTGCCCTAATAATATCCTTCATAATTATTTTCCCCCTATTTCTGAGATGCCACATTGCAATTAGTTGTCATGTCTCTTTTAATCTGGAACAGTTCCTTAGCCTTTTTCTTCCATGGCCTTGACATTTTTGAAGAGTACAGGCCAGTTATTTTTTAGAATGCCCTTCAGTTTGGGTTCATCTGACGTTTCTTCATAATTAGACTCAGATAATGCATTTTTGGAAGGAATGTACCACAGAAGCAATGTTGTGTCCTTAGTGCAACAAGTCAGGTGGCACACGGTACTCTGCCCTATTATTTGTGATGCTAATTTTGATCAACTGGTTAATTCTTGAATGACTCAAGTATGCCTATGACGAGTGTAAAAATCAAGATTTTTTAAAATTCTATCATCTTCTACGTTAGCTGGCATTCTAACGTCAAAATGAGCTCTAACTATTCCATTTACTTATTTTATTCATTGGGTTATAACTTACTGATATAATTTTGATGCTCAAATTATCCCAGATTTGGCCAGCAGGAGCCCCCTTTAAGCTGGGTCTTGTGACTTTTTACCCGAGCACTTCCTTGCTTTATGGCAAAATAACACAATCCAGCATCCCTTGTACTTTCTCTGCCTGAACCCTGCAGTCATTTCTTCAAGCAGCTCTGGTTTCTTTTAGTGAGGAATGCTATTTAGAAAACTATGATCTGGGTGCTAGATGTGTTCATTGCTACTGGGGTGTCTTTACTTCTAGGTCTTCTCTGTGGGCAGACCTAGGAAAGATACAGTGTGTGTATACTCATTCTCCTGCCCCAAAATACACACACACAATATATACATATATCTATATCTATTTATCTCTCTCTCCATATATACTATGTATGTATGCACACTTAATGGATATATACATGAACCATGATACTTCCAATAATGATACCTCCAATTCTGATCTTATATGACAAGGTTCATTCTAATTTTATGTATTTGTAACTCCCTTCTTTAACAGTGAGAAACCTGGTTCCTATCACCCTTGATGTTTAATAAATTGCAGAATCCCAGAATTCACAACAAGTACTTTCAGAATTACTAAGTCATAAGACTGTAAAAAACAAGTATACTAACTAGAATTCAGTATTTGTTTATAGTTCTTTTTGTCTTTAGGGTGAGAACATATAATCAAAGCGTTGTGTTAAAAAATGACTTGGGCATCCTCCCCATTACTTAGATTCACTTGTTTTTTTCATATTCTATTAGAATTTTGTTTTTTAAATCATTCCTCAACCTTGTTAATTTTATTACTATCACTTTATAGAGTGTAAAATATTAATGTGATCCCCAAAGTCAAAACTATACAAAAAGATCACTCCATACACATTCTTGCACCTTGTACTCACTCATCCCCTATAATCAGTCTCATTAATTTTTTACTTCTTTTTTGCAGTAATCAAAAACATATACTTCTTTATTCCGCCCCCTCCTTTTTTCACACAAAAAGTAGCATATCATGTATTTTCTTTTAAAGCTTGCTTTTTAAAACTATATCCTGGAAATCACTGCTATTAGTTCAGATCATCTCCCTCATTTTTTTATACCTTGGTACACCAGAGTATAAACGGACAGTTTAATCAGTCGCTCTCCTATGCACATTAGACATGCCAAATTGCCCTCCATAAGGGCTGTACCCCTTGGCATAAAGTGTGAGTGACAGTTTCTTCACAGCCTCAGCAAGAGTGTATTATTAAAGCCTTTTAATTTTTGCCAATGGTAGGTAAGAAATGGTATCTTAGTGTAGCTTTAATGTCTCTTATGAGGCAAAGTTGAACATCTTTTCAGGTTTAGAGGGCATTTTTATTGGGCTGTCAGAAAAGTGATGACGCATTTTTGCAACGAAAAACATAGAAAAATACGTCATGACTTTTCTGACAACCCAGTATCTTTTTACTTATTTATTTTTGTCAACTGCTCATGTTTTATCAGACTTCTAGCCTTTCCCCTCTTAATTTTTGAAAGTTCTTCACATACATGGGCTTTTACTGTCCTTTTATGAAATATATGTTGAAAATATTTTCACCCAGTTTGTATTTTATGTAAACTTTAATCTTTTTATTACACCTGAATTTTGAGTCACATACACCTGTATTAGAGAGGAATTTACCCATGTTCTTCTAGTATTCGTGTAGTTTCATTTTTTTACATTTAGAGCTCTGATCCCTTTGGAGATTACTCTTGTGTAAGGTGTCAGATGTAAATCTAACTATCATTTTCTAAATGACTATCTAGTCATCCCAGCACCATTGATTTAAAAGTTCATCTCTGCCCCAGTGATTTTTACATTGTCATGTTCATTACATGCTAAATTTCCATATGAATGGAAATTTATATATATATATATATACACACATATATATATATATATATGGATATGTATTATATATATATATTGATATATACCAGGAGTGCCAAAAAAAAGTATACAAGTGGACACTTTGGTCAATTTTGCTCACACAGTTGTTAACCATAATCAGAAGTGTCTGGACATTGATGGTAACCACTTTGAGCACCACTTGTAATTGCAGAAGTCAAACCTGACTTGTACTCATCTTTTGTTATCAGTATATATTGAGTATTACAATTTTAAGTTTTTTCCTTTCTTAAAATGTGTATACATTTTTTGACACCCTCTGTGTATATGGACACACACACACACACACACACACACACACAGGGTTGTCGGAAGTCATGACGTATTTTTTCTGTTTTTCGTTGCTTACAGACTTTCTATTCCTCTGGTCTGTCTAGTCATGCACCTGTACCACACTGTAAATTATCAAAACATTTAAAATCTGACAGGAGTATACCCCTCATAGCATTACCTTAGTGTTTCCAAGTAGCAAGGTCTAGTTTTGCCATTTTGTTATTAATTTCTAGTTTTATTACATTATGACCAGAGTGTTGTTTGTAATTTTCCACTTTATGAAACTTAGTGATGCTGTCTTTGTGACATATGTCTAGTGTGGGGAAGATTAAGTTACAAAATACGTTTTGCTATGCATCTTACTTAGCACTTCCACATACATCATTCGATATTCACAATACTGCCCTGCAAGGGCACATTCTGAGGTGGGGGTGGAGTGGGCAACAACAACCCATTCAGCACTAGTCCCCCAAATAAATGAGAGCTTGAATCTTCCCTGTAGGTTGCTAACTCCTAAAAGAAAAACCAAAAAAAAACCCCAAAAACAACAAAACAAAAACTTCATCCCTGATTTTTATAACACTCAGAACTGCAGCTCTATGACCATCGTTATAGGTGTAAACATCAAGTAAAACTGCTGAGGGTGTTTTCTACCATCAACAGACTAACTGTAAACTTGTGGATTTTTTTTTTCTTTACATATCTGCTGGGCTCTTTATTCTCGGTTTTTGGAACCTTGGACTCCCTTGCAAAGCACTGCAAGTAAAAATACTATTTTCCCCTTAATATTTTTCTGTTTTCTTTTAAAGAACTAAGGTTCGTATTACACATATAAGAGATTACAACGTTTGAACTAGAACCCAGATTAGTTAGAATCCAAGACCAAGACCAGTGGTCCTGGGGGAGTCCCATTGCTTCTCCTTTTGGCTCAGTACAGCGAAAAATTACTCCTTTAAATCCAGTAACTCAAGTGGACTCACAGGAACCGTTCGCGCCAACAGCGGGACGCAAAACCTCTAAACTTTAGAAAACCTAAAGGAAAATAGAGATGGGGCAGAGGTGGCGGTGGAGAAATCTCCATTGCCATGGTAACGGCAAAAGACTACGTAATAGGACTACTGCAAGGCCATCCTTCGCAGCGATGAGGGTTTAGTAGGCAAAACTTTTCTCAAACTCAGCTCTGTGCGGTTATCCTGCTTCCCAAAATCGTGGAGCCGTTCTCTCCGGGAAATGCAATATATTGTAGATGAACCAGCTGACATCCTCCATGCTCCTCTCCTTGGCCGCAGAGCTAACCAGGCATTTTCAGCTGCCCGCCGCCTCCTCCCCACACGCTGGGTCGCAAGAAACCAATTCGGGGCCCATTCGAGTGGTAGGGGCAGATATCTGCCGGCTTCCTGCGATCCGACCCGCGCGAGGGCCTCACCTGCGGGTAGAGGTGCTGCATAAAGTGCTCCTGCGAAACGTCCTCGAGCCGAGGTACTGGGAAGCGCTGCGGGGCCATCGTCGCTGATGCTCGTCCTTTTCCAAGTCCCAGAAGCCTCTGCCCTAACCACGTTCTTCAACTTGCGATCCGCCCGGAAACAAGACCCGGAGAGAAAAGGTCCGCAGGGCCAATGAACTCGCGAGAGCACCCGGTTCCGACCGCTGGGCTGGAGGGCTCTGTATGGATCGTGTGTGGAGAGCCGGGGTGGGGCGTACTCACCAGAGGCGGCAGCAACAGGCCGGCTTTACTCTCCAGTGTCTTTCTCTGAACCCTGCTGAGGTAGTTTCCCACCGACTTTCTTTCGACACAGCACAGGCAAGCACGGGGTGAAAGGTCACGAAAATGGCGCTGGCCGCTCGTCTTTTACCCCGCTTGCTGCTTTCTCGGCGGTTGCCCGGCGGGGTCGCCGGATCCCGGATTCCCGATGCAGCCAAGATGAAGCCGCCGTTGGCTGGAGTTTGCTATACCTGTCGCTGCCACATTGGCTCGGGAACGACCCCATTTCCTCGATTCACTTGGGCTTCGGCAGCCTCCGCTCTGCCTGTTCAGGGCTCCCGGCTTCCCCTGCTCAGCCCGCCCGGACTCTCCGCAGCCCTCCCCGCTTTCCCTGCCAGCCCTCGGCGCAGCTACAGCACTGGGGAGCAGCCCCAGCAGCGCCAGAAAACCAAGATGATCATTCTGGGGTTGTCCAATCCCATCAACTGGATTCGGACTCGAATTTACGCCTTCCTTATCTGGGCCTATTTCGACCAAGAGTTCAGCATCGCAGAATTCTCAGAGGGAGCGAAGCAGGTTTGTTTATTTCCCTGAAGTTGACCTCTACGCCTCTCATGCATGCAACTAAAATATTACACGTAACGGTATTTAGCGGTGAGGTGTCCTCGCTGAGCCTCAAATTATCAAACGTGGGTAGTGACCCTGGCACCGAGCCCTTGGGGCCACTTCTTGACTTCTATGAAGCTTCTGCTTCTGTTTGCCGAGGAGGGATTGGATTGAAACATCAGGGTGAAGTCCCCCAATTACCTTTTCCACTCAACAGGATTTGAATCAGAAATGGATTCAAAGCCCATGTCTGCCACTTAAAAGTTATATGGCTTTATCTTATCTGAACATGATTATCTGCAAAATGAAAAAGACAGTGCCTGGCATATAGTAGGCACTCCATAAGTGTTTGTTGAATAAATGAATGATTGGGTGAGATTGTTTTGAAGAGTAAATGAGAACAGTTTTAAATTGCTATAATGTCATTTTGGGTAGAAAGACAAAACTTCCCACCGGAGCTCCGTTGCCCTTTACTTGTCTTACCCCCTACCCTCAACCCTCCCCATCATACTGCTAAAAAATTACGTAGAGATGAGCAGTTTTTCCCTTTCAAAGAATTTGCTGAGATAGCCTGGTCGCTGATAAATGCACGGCAGTCTGCACACTGAGAAATAGCTTTTGGTGATTCATACCCCTGACCCTGACAGTCCTGTCCCTCTTTCTGAGTGGCAGAGAATGTGCTTTGATGACAGTAAAAGGGAAGATATCATGTCATATATAGACATCAATGGAGAGCAGGGTCGGTGAAGCTAATAAAGCCATCATTAGCTCCTTGCCACATGTCTGTCACTTTGGGTCCTGAGATTATTTGCAGATTTTGTGTATACATGTATTTTTCTAGGATCAAAGTCCATCTGTAACTTTCTTTTGAATCTCTTAGAGAGTTTGTCATTCCCAAACATTTCAGAACTATTGCTCAACAATAAAAGCCATAGTTTATTTCCCAGTTCATACCTCCATGTACCTTAAAATTATGCCGTCAAGCGTAGTCATTTTACATTTGATTGTATACTGGTATTGATATGTTTACTCCTATTTTATTTCAGATTATTTCTGTAAACACAGTCATTTATGTTTATTTAGGTGACCTGTGTTATAAATTAAATGTTATAATCAGTGTCAACATTAACTTCTGCTTCCTGCTTTCCTGAGTAAACTCTTCAATGCTTTGTGTGTTTATTAAAAAGTTAAAAAGCAAAGAGCAACTTGATTAATAGTATCAACATCACCTCTGCTCATGTCAGTTCTCAAAATATTTTGTCCCTGTAGAGGTAAATTGGCGTGATCCTATTATTCTCAACAATAATACCCACTGATGACGTGAGCTTGTCTACTTCATAACACACATGACTGTACCTGTTCATTTATGTGTTAATAAGGAATGGAAATCATCTCCCTACTGTAGTCAGGAATCAGGCCTTAGTCCCTGTTTCCTCTGAACACAGAGGACCATGGGACACTTTTTAGTCCTAACTCTCTGATCTTAGAGGTCCTCCAGCTGTTAGCTATTTTAGCACCCCTTTTTGCTATTAAGTAGTATCTCCACCCCTTCGTTAGCCAGTTGGTATGCAGTTTTGCCTCACCTAAGTCAATTTTTGTGCATTTAGCTAGTCTAATATCCAGAAAAGGATGTTTACCGATTCCCTTAAATCAGAGGTTACTTAACATATTTTTCAGATCAAGCAAATCAGTTCTTTAACACCTAAGATTTAAAAGGACATGGCTTAAAAACCTCCCAACTGTTGGGTTGTCGGAAAAGTCATGACATATTTTTTCTGTGTTTTTCGTTGCAAAAATGCATCATGACTTTTCCGACAACCCAATAGATTTCATAATACACACTGTACCTTCCTTTGCATAGATATAATTCGAGGGCTTAGAAATAATCTGGTGTAAAAACATCAGCTAGTGTATCTCCTCTCATTGGCTCCACTTCCCCTTTCTCCTTAGGCTGACCTCCCAGCAATAAGATGTTATGTTGGGTTGTGAACATCAAGTTATCAATTAGATCATGTTGATTAAAACTTGTTTTTGTTAATCATAGAACATGAAAAGGAAAAGACACCTTAGGGCTTATCATTCTAGTCTACTACTCCTTTGCAGGTGATAAAACCAAGTCCCAGAAAGGTAAAATGATTGGCTCAAGGATGCATAGCTAGTAAATGCTGAGGTGCACTGTCCGGTGACCCATTCTGCAAGCAGTCGTGGTCCTCCAGAGCCACCAAAATTGAGATGGTGAAGTACAATATAGACAAGCTTTTATTCATCACTTGAGCCAGGGGAATAGGTGGTCCAACACTATAAATTACTATAAACTCCACAGACCCTGCTCTCCATTGATGTGTATATGATATCTTCCCTATTACTGCCATCAAACCACATTGATCATATACTGTTGTTTTCCTGTATCTTGCTTACACACTTTAACCTTTTCTATGAGAAAGAGGGCTATTTCCTAGAAGGCTTTAGGTTAGACACTCCTATGTTTTCAAGGCCTTATCAGGGCAGCTTACAACAGTTCTGACACTAGCTCCCCAGATTTAATGTAGACCCCATGGGTTAGGGGCTCAGTCCCACAAGACTGGCTCCACTTCAGACACCAATCCCAAGTCCTGCCTCCCATACTTTTGACCAACCAGCTATAAATCAGGGCTTCCCACATCCCCCTTCCTCGGGTTCAATAATTTGCTAGAATGGCTCACGGAACTCAGGAAAGCACTTTACTTTCTACTTCTAATTTATTATAAAGGAACAGCCAAATAGAAGAGATGTACGTGGCAAGGCATGTGGGAAGGGGTGTGGAGTTTCCATGGTCTCTCCTCCTCCCTCACTTGCACTTGTCACCAACCTGGAACCTGTCCTAATCCCTTCATTGAGGGTTTTTATGGAGATGCCACTATGTAGCCATGAATGATTAAATCACTGGCCACTGGTGATTAACTCAATCCCCAGCCCAGCTGTCTTCTCTGAAGGTCTGGAGGTGGGGCTGAGAGTTCCAACCCTCTAATCATCCCTCTAATGGTTGCTTCCTCTGACAACCAGCTTCCATCTCCCAAGAGTCACCTGGTTAGCCTAAAGTCAGGTATGGTTGAAAGGGGTTTGTTTTAGGAGCTCTGTGCCTGGAACGAGAATGAAGGCCAAATATGTATTTCTTATTACATCGCACTATCACACCACTGATATGTGCATATATCTTCCCTATTATTGCCCTCAAATCACATTAATCACATACTGTTTGTTTTCCTATATCTTGCTTGCACATTTTAGCTTTTGCTATGAAAAAGAGGGCTATTTCCTAGAAACCTCTTTACGTTGGATACTCCTGTATCATCAAAGCCTTATCAGGGCAGCCGCCAAATGGTTCATTATTACCTTATAGGATAATTTTCTTAGGTGTGTGATCTTCCTTGGCCACACAAATTAGAATCTAATGGTTGAGTTTCAACATGATGGTTATGTTCTTTGTTCCTTTTTACCAAAATATCACCCATCTTCCATACACGGAGTCTTACTAAAACATATAGTATCTCTGAACCCTGAGGGCCTTTAAGTGTTTGCAAGGGGTACTTTAATCCATTGGATGTGTGCGTTTCTCAAAATTCAACTCCACTGTTATACTAGTTTTGCTAGGGCTGCCATTAGGGTTGCTTAAACTACAGAAGTTTTATTTTCTCACAGATCTGGAGGTAGAAGTCCAAGATCAAGATGTTGGCAAGTTTGCTTTCTTCTGAGGCCTCCCTCCTTTGCTTAGAGATATCAAGCTGCCATCTGGCTGTGTCCTCACTTGGTTTTTCCCTCTACACGTGTGCCTCTGGTGTGTCTTTGTCCAAATTTCCCCTTATAAGAATAACAATCAGATTGGATTAGGGCCTACCCTCATTGACTTAGTCACCTTTTTAAAGGCCTATCTCCAAATATAGTCACCTTCTGAGGTATTGGGAGTTAGGGCTTCAGCATATGAATTTGGGAGAACACAATTCAGCCCATAGTAATTATTCAGTATTGTCTCTGATATGCTTGTGCATCATTTCTCCCGCCAGTTCTTCAGATTTCATCTTAGATGTTACTTCCTTTAGGAAGCCCTCTCTAATCATTCTAGAATGACATAAGTGGCTCATCTGTATGTTCCCAAATCATCCTGTTCTTATCCCTATCATAATTCTTGAACTTGACAGTTTACTTGCCTCTCTCTCTCCTTGAGTAGACTGAAAACCCCTTGAAGATAAAGTCAAATCTTATGCACAGTTTCATTTCTCACTGCTGGGAATTTGGAGGATTGCAGTTGGCTCCCCTCCACACACACACTTTAAAATGGGACCTCATACTTCAAAATTAGAACCCACTGTAGTAGACTGTGAACTCATTATCTTTTCTGATACTTTCCGAAGCCTGCCTTATGTCTCTTAATAAGGTTCAGACTGTAACCCAGATCTCCAGACTCCCAGTATAGTCTAGATTCTATCTGTATGATGGGGGGAGGCAGGGAGGTCATCATATAACACTCAGGATGGTTGATTACTTCATCACTGTTTTAAAAGGAAATATATAGGATTTTTATTGAGGATCTAGTGAGTATACCACACACTATCTTTTCCCAGGTCCTGAGAGTGGATACATAATTAGCTGTTTACTCACTTACTACTATATCTGTGCAAAGGCATTTGAGAAAAGAACAGCCAACCAACTAGGAGTCATGCCTAACATTGATATCTTAATGTTTGACATTGTTTATCGCTTTTTTCATAAAATAGTCTTTGTTACACTTAGCCATTTAAGTTTGAGCATCGTACATTGTATGGTATTTTGCATGTTGTTTTGAAATAATCACCACCACCTTCCCTCCTCTATTTTTTTTAAGGCTTTTGCTCATGTGTCCAAGTTGCTGTCACAGTGTAAATTTGATCTTTTGGAAGAACTTGTAGCCAAAGAGGTAAAGTATACTTTTAATTTTCCTTTAAAAATAAACGTATTATTTTCTTGCAACAGAATGATATATAGTATTGTACATTGTTGTTATTTATGCTTAAAAATACTATGTGTGCCATCAGCCAAAGTAGAGTCCCTTCAAAGTAGAGTACTCTTTTGGGTACTTTGGGTCATATAAAAACATAGAATGACTTGCTACTTAAGTTATAAGTAAGTAAATAGGATGTCTTTCAGTTGTTCTTATAGAGAATGTACTGTTAGGAATTACCTAGTTGAATAGCTAGATGCTTTCAACCTTGCTTTTGAAGATGAATAAATACAGTAGTAAATTTAAAAATAGGTTTAGCAAAATTCATTCCATGAAGAATTCACCATGCTTTTGAAAAGCTTTCGAAAGCTCGATAGCTGAATTACGCTTTTCTTTTTCCAAACATAGGTACTAAAGGTATTGAAAGAAAAGATCACTTCACTACCTGAAAACCATAAAAACGCCCTTGCTGCCGACATAGATGAAATTGTGTATACATCAACAGGAGACATCTCCATTTACTATGATGACAAAGGTAATACTGGAGCATAGTCAACTTCAAATGATCCACCATTGTCCAGATAAGCTAAACTACCGGATCATCAGGAAATAGTGGGGGTTGTTTGTCCAAGTGGATATTTATAGAGAAAATAATATATTCATTCTTTAAAGACTTACCTCTGGAAGAGTTGAGATATGGTAATAGTTTCTTATGCCCTTCTACCTGGAACTTTTCCCTATTACTATTTAATTCACAGGAGAGTATTGTCACTTAAGTGGATGAAAACAGTCTGTTTAAGACAAGCTGCTCCTGTGTATCAAATTAAATATATCTGTGTTTCAGATTTCCTAACTTTACGGAAACAATCGAGCATTTTAAATGTCCAGCTGTATGTTAAACAGAAGGAGTACAATAAAAAGTAAATATCAGCTAAAGACTGTTTCCAAACTAAGGTTAATTGCAGAACTCCCAAATTGGGAGACAGTTTAAAAAGTTGAAAAGTTATCTGCTATCTGATGCATATATGTTCCCTATAACATTCCTGAAAATTTATTGACTTATTCCTACAAATATTTGCATATGTGTTATGTGCCAGGCACACAGGAATCTGGACTTGGCTTACACACTTCTGAAAGCAATTCTGATTTGGACTCTTAATAGTTAAAATTTTTTTTCATGCACATGTTAATTTGAAACATTTAGAAAGGTACATATTTTTTATAAATATTTGTTCCTCCCCTAATATTTCAAATTGCACTTTAGCACCATGGTCACTACCTGATTTTTATACAGGACATTGTCATAAGCACTAAACCTAGCAAAGTGAGTTAAGGTAGAATAGAAGTCTTTCTTCTTTCTGACAGTTGGGGTTAAGTTAATTACTTAGCAGCAATTAATGTTCTTCCCCTTCATTTTTGGTTTGACAACAGATATGTTATAATTTTAGAAAATGCCACAAATTGACAATAATGCAGTATATGTAGTAAATAGTACATGCTCAGTAATTAGTGGCTATTATTACTGCAATGAAAAGAGGGCCAATATGTCATAAACCCTAAGAGAATTTTCTAAAAATTAAAAGGTATCAATGCAGGTATCTTGTTAGGCTAGAATAAGCACAGAATTTGATCTGTAACAACTGTGTAACTACTGCCACTTTCTGATTTCATTTCGGCTGTATGGGTGATAGATTATTGTGATTTGTATTTGTATGTGTGTGTGTGTTTTTTCCCTAAGGAAGGAAGTTTGTTAACATCCTGATGTGCTTTTGGTATCTAACCAGTGCCAACATCCCCAGTGAAACTTTAAGTGGAGCCGGTGTCTTCCAGGTTAAGTTGGGGGATCAGAATGTGGAAACGAAACAGCTTCTTAGTGCGAGCTATGAGTAAGTCTAATCATATTTCATTGTTTCCTTTCTCTAGAAAATGGAAGGTAGTATGAAGGTATGAAAACTAAAGGGAGCTTTAGGGAAAAATGATTGAAATTTTTCAGGTTATTTATGAAGAGAAAAAATCATAATGACATCTGGCCATGAAGCAGGAGCATTCAGAAATTAGAAAGAGGTAATATTTCTGAGTGTAAACTGTGTTTCAGGTGTCTACTGCTGCATTACAAACCACTCCAAAACTCAGTAGTTCCAACAGCTCATTTTTTTGGCCTGCTATTTTACTGCTCAAGAATTTTGTAAAGGCTCAGCTGTGAGGTTTTCTCTGCTTCACCTGGCATCACCTGGGGTCGCAGGGGCTGGAGGATTCATTTCCACAATGGCTACTTCATTCACACGTGCAGCACCTGGGTGCCCCCTGGCTTCTCCACATAATGTCTCATTCTCCAAGGCCTCCCTTCGTGGCTTGGGCCTGTGGTTGTCTCAGGTTCATTACATGTTTTATGCTGGTTGGCTTTCAAGAGACAGAAGACAGAAGATACTAGACCAGTAAAGGGCTATGCCCAGGATTGGAACAACATCGTTTCCACCATAGTCCACTGGTCAAAGCAGTCACGGGACCTGCACCATTAAAAGGGCCTGGAGAAATCTCCACCTCTTGATGGGGCAACAGCAAGTTCCCATTGCAGAAGAGCACACTGGATGGGAGACACAGTTATAGCCATCAGTGGAAAATAAAATCTACCATCATTGGCATGTGGATTATTCACTCACTGAGTACTTTTATTGACCATCTCCCATTTACCCAGTTCTCTGTTAGGGGCTTAGATACAAAATTGACAGGTTCTGCCCTTAAGGAGGTACTGTCTAGTGGGAGGTTAGCAAATTGTTTAAAAGAGACACTATAGTGTATTTTTGTGCTGATAAAATTTGGAGCAGTGAACAAGTCAAGCAAGTTCAATGGAGACTTAATTGTATATTTAAATACTCATTTAATTTAAATCTACTAAGTTGTCTATTTTGAGACATTTATAATTAACGCTATAATCAATACTAACCTTTGCTTCTTCTCATATTCCCTACTAAGACCATGGGCAGCTCATAAACACTTATTTTCAAGATTGATCTAGTATATATAAAACAAATTCCACTAAAGTGCTGTTTTAATCACCAATTTATTTCTCCTCCTATTAGGCATATGTTATAGCTGGTATTTAACAACAGAATAATACTCTAATTTCTCTCAAGGACTGGCAGATGTTGGAGTGTAGATCAGTCCATTAAAAATACTCATTTTAGTTGACAGTGTACTTCTAATTTTGTGGGATTTTTTTGTGATTGAATTGGTAGATTAAACTTTTGTTAATTTTAATTTTTATTTACCATCGACCATTAGCTTATTGCTAAAAGCTGCCTCTAATGTACACTTGCAGAGTATATAGTTATGTAAGAACTATTTGGACTAATGTAAGATTCACATTATTTGTAATTTTTTTCTGAGATTTCAGAGGGAGTTTACAAAAGGAGTAAAGCCTGACTGGACCATTGCACGGATTGATCACTCAAAGTTATTAGAATAAACTTTCTTGAAAAAATTAGATGATTGGACTTTCAGCAATTGCTGTGAAAACTAAGGAAGAAAAGTTTTGGATCATTTGATCTTCACTTAGTCAAGTCTGTGGATTACTTTTGTATTATTTTGAAATACTCCTTGTAGTATATTGGCATGATACAGTAAAGCATTTTCCACAGATTGTTGTCACCTTCTATAAAAGAGAACAAAATAAAGAAACTACAGTAGCTCATCGTTGGTGTCATATTCAGTATTATTTCTAATGTTACATATATATGTGTATATACACAAACTAATTTTATAGAAAATAAGGAATAAAAGAAAACTACACATTTCTAATTTAATAGCCCTTAAATATTTTATTTGTAATTAATATATTTATACCAATAATTCAAGTTAAGTATAAGGTTCATTTTTAAAATTTAATGCTGCTTTTGATTACCTCTGGTCACTGGCTAGATGAGAAGGAATGGATGGAATTATAGCAGATTGGTCACTGCAGAACTAAAGATCAGTGAACTTGAAGCTTTGTAAAGCACAAAGAAAAGAAAACAGAACAGCCCATCAGCCACCTGTGGGATAATAGCAAGTCTCTTAACATACCTGTATTTGGAGTCCTAGATGTTGCGGTAGGGGAGATAAAAACAATATAAGAAATAATGTCGAAATTTTCTTAATTGATGAAAACTGTAAACCCACATATCTAAGAGAGTCAACAAGCAGGATAACACATAAAACCTCACTGAGGTACATCATAATCAAATTGTTGAAAACCAGAGAAAAATGTAAAATCATCAGGAGAAAAAATTCCATTGCAGAGAATGACTGCATTTTTTTTTTTTCTTCAAAGGATGTGAGTTAGAAACCTTGGCATGACATCTTTAAAATGCTGAGAGGAAAAAAAAAACCTGTTGACCTAGAATTCAAAAATATATAAAAAAGGTGAGAAAAGATTTTTTCAGACAGGGAAAAGACGAGAGAATTTGTTGCCAGTATACCTGTTTTATAAGAAATGTTGAGGACCAATGGGCAGAATAGATTCAGAAATGGACCCATGCACACTGGACAGTTGATTTTTATTTAAGGAATTGGTTCACAAGGTTGTGGAGGCCGATACGTCCAAAATCTGCAGAATTAGCCAGCAGACTGGAGACCCAGGGAAGAGTTGATGCTATAGTTTAAGTCTGAAACAAGTCTGCCGGCAGAATTCCTTCTGGAAGAATCAGTCTTTTTCTATCGAGACCTTCATCTGATTGAATGAGGCCCACCCATATGATGGAGGATAATCTGCTTTATTCAAAGTCCACTGACTTAAATGTTAATCTCCTCTAAAAAACACCTTCACAGAAACATCTAGAGTAATGTTTGACCAAATATCTGAGTTCAGTGTCCTAGTCAAGTCAACAGATTAAATTACCACAGTACACAACTATGTACTCTCCCCTTAAAAGTCAAAAAAGGTTAACCTTTTGCCATATTGTTTCATCTCTCCCGTTCTCTACACACAGACACACACAAAAATCTGGTACTAGATTCCATTGTGTGTGTTAGGGAGGGGTTTCCCCATACCATGAAGCAATTCTGGGATGCCACCTGGGTGTCCTACAGTTCAACTCAATTCTGACATTACCTATCTGGAGATAGTGCCAGATTCCACTGGTTAAGGATTCAGTCCTACAAGACTGCCCACCCCACTCCCTTCAGATGCCAATCACAAGTCCAGGTGGTCACCTGGACCTCTGACAACAGACTGTAGATTGGAGGTTGCAAAGACCCCCTCCTTGGGTTCCATTAATTTGCCAAAACAGCTCATAGAATTCAGCGAAACATTTTACTTACTAGATCACCCATGTATTATACAAAGACTGAACTCAGGAACAGCAGAGGGAATGGATGCATAGGGCTAGGACTGTGGGAAAGGGTGTGGCGCTTCCATGCCACTCTCCACACCTGCAAGGATTCGCCAACCTGGAAGCTCTCTGAACCTCATCCTTTTGGGGTTTTGTGGAGGAGTCATTACAAAGGCAATTGATTTAATCATTGGCTGTTGGCTATTGATTCAACCACCATCTCCTCTCTCCTCCCTGAAGTCAGGGAGATGAGACTGAAAGTTCCAACCCGCTAATCACATGGTTAGTTTTGGAAACCAACTCCACATCCTTAGGTGCTTTCCAGAAGTCACCTCCTCATCAATATAAACTTGGGTATGGTTGAAAAAGTTTGTTATGAATATCAGGACACCTTTATCTCTCTTATCACTTAGGACATGCCAAGGGTTTTAGGAGCTCTATGCCAGAGCTCCTAAATGTGGGATAAAGATGTGGGATAAAGACCACACACATATTATAAATCACAACATCACACATGCACAGTTTTTATCTAAAACATTTTAAAGTAAGTTTTGGGCATACTGTTGTTTTAAGCAACTAAGTTTTTAGTAATTTGTTATATCAGCAACAGGAAAATTAATATACAACATGATCCTTGCACAAATCGGTATTACATAATAGTTGGCAAATGATGAATCTCTAATTCTATGTTTTCTACTGGCATCATCCTATAAAACAGAGCCCCCTTCCCTTTATTTTTAAATATCTCTACAAATGCATGAATTTTAATCATCCAATGTAGTATCAATTACAGTTATTACTCTTCTTGATGCTTCAATAGCCCCCAGTTTGGCCAGTGTGAGCCCCTACAATCTTTCTGCTCTGGCAGGTTAAAGAGTAACTTGACCCTGTTGTTAGCCTTTGAGTGCTTCTGCACTTTCTGCATAACAATATGTCCCAGGATCTTTTGTTCGTTTCCTGCCTCAGACCTGAAAAATCAGTGACTTCTCCAAGGAGTCGTGATTTCCTCAGGGCCATTGCTATACACTGAATGTTTATGCACATCCCACCCCCGAAATTCTCATGTTGAAATCCTACTCCCCAGTGTGGTGGGAGGTGGGGACTTTGGGTGGGGTTAAATCATGAGCGTGGAGCCCTCATGAGCGGGATTAGCGCCCTTATAAAAAAAGAACCCCGAAAGCTTCCTTAGGTTCTGCCACGTGAGGGCACAGTGAGAAGATGGCTAACCAGGAAGTGGGTTCTCAACAGACACTGAACCTGCTGGCCCTTTGATCTTGGACTTCCCAGTCTCCAGAACTGTGAGAAATAAATGTTTGTTGGTTAAGCCACTCAGTCTATGATGTTTTTGTTATAGCAGCCTGTACAGATCAAGACAGGGATGATGTTTAGAAACTAAGATTTGGGCATCTTGAAGTATTTTGACATCTTATGTCTGCAAGAAAATGTTCATATTTATAAATATTTGAGATTTTGGATCATTTATCTAAAGGATCATTGGGAGTGCTAACTGTGGACTATTTGCCTTTATTTCTGTCAACATTATTTAAAATACCCCTCCCCCATTACTCTCTATGTCCTAACCCAGGTTTATTTCAGTTTATAACATGTATCGCATCTGACATTATAGTATATCTTACTATGTTGATTTGTTCCATTGTCTGTCTTTCCAACTAAGGCAGGAACTTTTTCTACCTTGAGCCTGGAACAATATTGGTACATAATAGAGCTCAGTAAATATTAGCTGAAAGAATAAAAAATGAGTGAACCTCACTACTGTTGAATTCCCTGACTCACGTGACAGGAACATGTTCCTGTTGCTTTTGATTTGATGCCCCAGCAAGCTAAATGTGATGTATTAGGTACAGTCCCCCTCTCAAGGGGTGTATGGTATTATTGGGTATGTGACCTTGCTTTTATGGTCCTGTAATAAATGTCATTTATCCTAAACACCACATGGTGGAGCTAATTGTGTACGGAATCTAAATACTGGAGGCAGCAATGATCCTGATAAGGCCTGAAGTCCCCAAGCAGTGAGAGGATTGCTTTGTTTACCGATAGGTTTTTGTAGATACATATAGGAAACTACTCAACAAAAAAGTTTTACGATTAGGGAGACCACTTCATGGACAGTGGAGATTCTTGAGCATTGCAGTGTACGCCTAAAGCTGAATACTGAATGTCAACTAAATTTAATATATATTAATATATAGTCACAGGATGTGGAGTACCGCATAGGAATAGAGTCAATGGAATTGTTAACAGCTATATACGATGTCAGAGGAGTAGTAGATTGGGGGAGGGTGTTATCACTTTGTGAGGGGTGTAAATGTCTAACTAGTACATTGTTTTGTGCACCTGAAACTAATAAAAAGTTTTATGAACAGAAGTTGTTGGTGTTAAAAGGGTTAACTCATGGGTCAAATCGGAGGGAACTTTCCCCCACATCTCTTCTCTGATTGCTGGAACCATTGATAAAATCATTCACTTCCTCTGGGGTTACCCTGATCCTCAGAGGGTTTTCTGGATAGTGTGGTGTACTTGTCAGGATAATGTAGACTATGCTGCAGTAATAGAGAATCTCCAAATCTCAGTGGATTGAGACAAAAAAGAGAAAGGTATATTTCTTATTCACACTGCATGTTCAATTAGGGACCCCTGGGGACTCTGGTGGTGGCATCACCCTCTCTCCTAGACACAGCGGATGGGCAGCTGCTACCTGATACTACAGCAAACGGATAACAACTCTGAAGGGTTGCATATGAGCAATTACATGCTAAACTTGGAAGTGATACAGTTCATTGGCCAGAGCGTAGCCCTACTCAACCACAGAGACCCAGGAAGTATAATTCTATTGTGTAGCTGGAAGGCAGACAGCGAGAAGCATTTGGTGAGCAGCAATATGATTTCCACAAGCAGCAGTTAATGATTTGTCTTGTTTTAACTCTAGGGAGTTACTCTTAGAGCCACTCAGCACACATTATTGCATCAGAGATCAGGAGGCTCAGGAGAAAGAGGGATTTCCCAGATCCTTTGGTGACATATTATTAGCTGAGAATTATTGACTACCCTGCTCCAGGAGCCTGGGGATTAGGGTCTCTCTTCCTGTATACCAGTGACTGCAGTTTTCTTAAACCAGTTTTAATAGAAAAAGGCCATAGAACACCTGAATTCCATTCTCTTCATTTGATGAGACCTGCCAAGGCACATTAAAACACCGCTTCGATTAATGGGGGTGCCATCTGAAATAAAAATTGGTCAGCTAAGACCTTATGTAGTGTTGGCCTTATTATAAATTGTTTATTGTTTCAAAATAATCACTAAGAAACTTAGATAAAATAAGACTTTATCAGAGTACTTAATCTTAGTAATTCAATCTCACAGAGT